CCTGTGCCTGATGCTCTTTTTGCAAATCTTCTACTCTTTGAACTAGATCGAGTGAGCAACTTAACACTTTGTATTTATATACACACACACCACCCCTTTTGATAAAAAAGATAATCTTTCTAACACTCTGTGTTAAGTGGCACATACTTGTAAGTGGCACATACATTTTATTTCCTTACCATATTAAAAATAAGAGGTTCTTGCTTCTGCCTGCTCAAATTACATGGATTTTCTTTAAGATTAGGGCACACATTGTAACAGCAGCATATAATTTTCTTGCACAATAATTTTTTTCCAGTTGAAAGGTATCCTATAATATCATCAGCATCAACAGGAACAGACACCTGATTTTCAGCTAGACAAAGCTTATGTGTTTGGTGACTTGATTCCTGGTGAAAAGCAGTTTTCAGATATTAAAGCAGCTACATGAAAATTCAAAAACAATCTGACAATTTATTCTTTGACAACAAAGTGCTAGACCAAAAGCAAATGCAAAAACTGTGCCAAAAATAGGACTCTGTGTGTGTGTCCCCTCAATGTCCTATTTCTGCTGCTCTAATTTTATCTTCTGTTGATGTTATATACATTTAGAAATGGAACATAAGCATTGCCCTTCCTAAAAGCTCAATGGATTCCTTAAAAAAAATCAAGCACGGAGCACAACACCCATTTATGCATTTAAGAAATCACCTTGTTGAAACTACCGTGTGTGTAATTGTGGATGAAAGGCTGTGTGGATCCCAAATATCTCAAACCCACCAGCACGTTCCAAAGACAGAAGATTAAAGACCCACTTCTACCACTTCAACAAGATATTAATTCTCAGAATTTGCTAGATTCCTTTCAGAGTATGGAAACTACAAGTCTCCTGTGCTCCAGGAAGCACTTCAGCATGAGTTTGTAAGAGCCAGCCAAGCAATCTCTGCATTGAGCTATGCTGGCTTCAAAACACTCACTTGCATTTTTTTCTCTTTTCAGAATTACTGGCTAGAGCTTTGTGCCAGAGTATGAGCCTGCATACATAGAGGTTTTATTTTCTTTTAAAAATAAGCTTTTTATAGAACTGATAATGGCCCATTGCATCTTGTGCCCCCAAATCTGTAATTTTTAGCTGCTACTGATGCCTACAGTAATAGAGAATCAAGATTATCCATGTATCAGAGTCATCTAAGTATACAAGAATAAAAATAAGTTTCAAGAAAATTTTATAAGATGCTTAAATAATTAGAAGGTGTAGCAGGAAAAAAGAATCCCTAGCTTTAGCTAAAACTAATTTTTTGTATTAAATTAATACTGTTGCTAAGGACTGAACTGGTATTATCTATAGTAAATAATTCACTTGCATACATTTTGTGAGCTGTCTAAATGAAAAAAATTAAGTGCAGTAAAGAAAAATATATGCTCTCTAGTAGGGTGTCTCTATACAGTTTTGTTCTGTGTTTTCCATCCTCAATTTGTTAACATTAATAAAAAGGGGGTTGGTCGTAAAAATTCAGCAGTTTTAGGCAAATATGCCCTGATAAAGTCATTCTTACAAAGCTACAATTCAATCACTCTTAATTGTGTACTACTTTGTATTATTAAGATCAATCCTGAGATTTAGCTGCAATTATAGTTATCTTTTGGATGGCATATGGCAAGATCTCCAACTCTTTTTAGCTTTGGAAATTTTACATCTGCCTATTCCTTCAAGATGCTAAGCATATATGTGTTGACAAATACAGAAAATAGCAGATGGCAAAAAGCAAATGCTCAACATGAAGCATTGGGGATCACTCAAAAAAGGCTGGGACTCAGAGACTGGCCATTTTAACAACAGAACTATGTTTAAAAATAAATTCCTCCATCTCTTCTGCTTGATGCTAAGGAACATGTGTGAAGAGAATATTCAGGATTACAGAACCCATGTCATATTAACTGCAGTTGGTATCCATCATGCAAGTTGCTTTGCTAACCTTTGGACTTTAAGGAAATAAACACAGCATAATTCTTCAGGAGATTAACTTCTGCAGCTATATAAAAATTGGAAACCATTCTGCACCCACCATTAAAATTTGACATGGAAACTTTTATTGGAATCTGCTATTCCAGCTTCTAAAAAGCTGCATGTAGCTGCAAGCAGCCCTTGGCAATGGCATTGCCATTTGTACCACCTGCAGCAGAGGCACCTGGAGCTGAGAAATTCCCATAGTTTGGGGAGCAGGTGAGTGACTTCATCTGAAAGGACACACAAGGTAACACAGGCCCAGCCAGGGTTGTACTTCTCACTAACAGGGAGCAGTGGAGGACTGGGGAACAGCACCAGGATAAAACCAACATTCAGCACAAATCCCCTAATAAATCCAGTATTTGGAAGTCCACAGCTCAGAAATCCCTGAATCACAGAGATGTTAATAATAATGGCAGACTTTCAGCAAAGTCTTACAATTCTTCCAACTGTGGAACCTCTCCAACTGAGGCACCTTCCCACTGTAACTAAGACAAGATATGTGCTGTGCCCTCCGGTCTCTCCTACTGCCCATGGGGGTGGAAGGTGCATAAAAACCTTGGTGGTCTCATCAGCACCATGCTTTAAGTACCCCAGAGTGACTGTGCTAGGAAGGAGAGCATCAAGCATAGTCTGTAACAGTTCAACTAAAAGGAAAAGATGAGCAGAGACAGGACATATGGTAACAACTACAGAAAAGCAGCAGATCTACCTTGGGAAAACACCTACAAGTAAACATCACTAAACATCTCTCTTTAGCCAGAGGGACCCATCACAGACACTAAGAGAAAAACAAACAAAAAAATCCTATCTTCATTTTCTCTACAATTTCTCACTGTCTTTTCAAACAGAGAGCACTAACAACTAAGGTTGGAAATAAACAGGTGCTAAAGAAATGCTTGTGTATTAAAACAGTATTTTAATCTTCTGAAACTACAGTTAGAGACATAGACACACAGCTGTAAACCTTGATAATTCTCATTTCATACATCCCAAAATAATGACATGAAATTGCACTGAAGTACAGCTCCATAACACAATTTTAAAAAACATCATACAAGAAAGGGACTATGTAAGTTTCATTTCTGTAACAGCTCTGAACAACACCTATAATTTTAATTCCACTATTATACATCAATTCATAGGCAAATAAATATATTAATTCCATTACCATATGCAGTTTAAATTAGCCCCATCTGGACAGAAAAGGTATTTTTCACCATGGTCCCCTGATCACCTCCATTAAGAACAAACAGACCTTTATTAATATTTTTACTCACATTTTACTAGCAATTGAATAGAAAAAAACCATTAGGAGATCCAAGTAAACAATAATTTCTATTTAAAATGGAGCTGAGAAACTTGGTTTCCAAAGCCCTCTCCTAAGTTAGAACGATCCATGTTTAATGGTGAGAACCAAAGGACTTACGTCCAGAATCTGCACACAAACATCTTGCCACATGTAGAACTTAAAACTAAGTACACCAATCGGTTTCAGGCAAAGAAATAAATTCACAGGAAGCACTGAGAAGGAGCACATGTACAGCAGGGGCTGCCTAGCAAATTCAGCTGAAGAATACCAAGATTTGTAAAATTGGAACCTACTGCTGCAATGATGAAACTTTAAAAACTGTTTTTATAGTGGTTAGAAATAAAAATTAACAACCTGCCCGCCACACCCATGAATTTACTTAAGCTCTAAGAAAACTCAGTCTCCTGGTCACTGGCATTCTCTACACCTCCCTTAAAAATCCCAACTTCTTTTCACATTCATTTTGATACCTCAAATCACCTTAGATCAGCCATGCACATGCTCCAACACCCTGTCAATACTGACAGTTGGCTAGCAGCTTCCTCCAGAAAAGGGAGTTTTTCCTTCAAAACTGAATTCTGCTCACCTTTCCTCTTCTTCACCAGCTTTCAAGAAACAGGAATTTTGTTATTTCAGGAATTTTATCTGTCTATCAAATTCAGCTGAAAAGAGTCAACAGCACCAAAAAAGACACTCCACTTTCCTCAGAAAACCAGCCAAAGCACTTTTTGAGCAAAATGCCTTAAATTCAAGGGAAGGAGCAAAACAGAATAACCAAGAATCACACAGAATAATCTGGTAAAGCTCTGAGATTATTATGCACATGTAGCAGCAGAGCAGAAAAAATTAGGGGAATTCACAGAACATGAAGTCTTGATGCATAACCAAGAATACAACTCCACAAGAACAGACCAGAAACCTTCCAATAAAATTAATACATTTTCCTCCTAGTCATTTTTTATTTAATTACTACTGAATACTAAGTAAAAAACTACTCTTTTCCTTTGCCTCTGGTCTTTGTGTACTAGAGGGCTGCATCTGGTCAGTCATACAGATACAAAAACAAACCCTGCAACTATTACCTTATTGGTTTATAAGAATGACTTTGGTGTATTGTTGGAATGCTGGATGCTGAGAATTTCAGATTTTCTGTGCTGACAGGCACTGACCCCCAGGAGAACTCTGCATTTGACCTGAGGCCGTGGAGAAACTTCTAAAATTGAATGACAGAACTGGGATTGTGCATGTGGAGTTTGAATAGAAGTGTGTGACATCACAAGGTGGAAAACTCAGAGTTTAAGGTTTTAGAATATAGCAATATATAAAAAACAAGATGGAAGTTTTCGGGCAGAGGCTGGTCCTTCTTCTCAATGGGTTTGGGTGGTTTTGTGTAATTGGATAAAAAAGTTGCAGGCACAGGTGGTTGGTTATTGGGTTAAAAATGAAAATAATTTAGGTGCCATTTCTTAATTGGACAGTTTATCCTTAAAAGGCCTTGCAGAGAGGGAGATAGGGCTCCATTTTTAGTTTGTTGGAGTGAAGGGCTGTAGAACTCAGGGTTTGTGAGACTGTAACATAGATAAGAACTAATAAACATCTGAATCCCAACAAGAAATACACATCTCATACATTTAACCCCGACCTTGGCAGAAAAGAAGCAGGAATCCATCAGTGTATCCTTAATATCAAATGCAGCCTTACCAGCAAAGCAAGTTTTTGGTATTTCCGTTTCAGCTCTGCTGGGCTGTCCGAGGGCTGGGCCCCCAGGACCTTGTACCAGTCCTTCTGCTTCACCCCTCCCAAGGCCATGGCCTGATGGCTTTGCAATCCCTTCCTCAGCACTGCATTAGAACATCAAATCAAGGAAACCACAACCTGGAATAAAAACAGAAAAAGCAAAAACAAGGATGTGGCAAACTGCAACATCACAGAATTGACTGCTGCCCTCGAGCACCTCTACACCATTATATGACAACTGTTGTGCAAAAAAAGTTAAATTCATGTGGCCATTCCATCCCACAGCCTGTCAAATGTGAAACCTTCTGCTTCCTGTCCAAGTGCCTCAGCGTATCCTGTTCAGAAGACATCCATGCTTCTTTAAAAATCATTTTGTATGTAGAATGAACTGTTTAGAAATGCCCCAGGTTACAGGTACACCTTTCATACAGACACTTTTAAAAACAAACTTTGGACTTTGAAGCAATACAGTACTCAACACATGAAAACATGAAGTACAGAAAAGGGTGACATTTTTCAAATTGGGAATTAGATCCATGCAAGAAGACACAAGAAAAGGTATGTGTTTGTTTTTACAAAATTACTTTTTCACAGCATGGAAACACCTTCATCCTGCTCAGTAAGAAATCAACTTTCTTAAAGCAGGAGAGCATGTAAAAACAAATAAACAAAAACGAACCAAAACATACAAAGCTAGCACAGGTCAGTAATCAAAACCTAACTAGTAGCTTGGCTTTTAATTTTGGCCATCTTTCATCAACTTAATGACCCAGAAAAAAAATAAAAAAACAACAAACCAGGAGACTAAGTGTTAGTAATAGACTGGCAGTGCTTGACCTTCACGGATTCTTAGGTGTGCTGCAATCCCTAGCTGGCAGCCGCTGATTTACCATGAATTTCCAGAGAAGAAATAACACTGCCAGTAGGCAAGAACTTTGTAAATACACAAGCTTTATAACGCTAAATTAAGTGTGAAACAAACAAACAAACAAAAAAAAAACCAAAACAAAAAAACAAAACCCCCAAACAAAAAAAAAAACAAAAAACCCAAACAAACAAACAAAAAACACAACACAGAAAAAAACCCCAAAAACCAACCAAAAAATGGTTTTGTTTTTTTTTTTTTTTTCCAAAACTGCTTCCTGCTGACTGCCGTCGTACTTCAGAATAAATCTTGCTTTCGCAAGGGAAGGAAAGTACGTGTTTCAAACCCGGCTGAGCTGCGAGCACACCGCGGGACCCACGGGGCAGGGAAAAGGCCACGCTCCCGTCCCGCCCGCCCCGGGCCGCGCTCTCCGGGACTGCTCCTGCAGCGCGGCCCCCGCACAGCCGCGGCGGGCGGCACCGGGGAGCCCGGGCCAGGCCGCGGCCCCGCTGCCGGAGTTCCCCCGCCGCCCTCCCTCCCTCGCAGCTCCGCAATCCCCCCCGGTTCTCCCCCGGTACCCCCCGGTGCCCGCGGCCGCCCCGCGCTCCCACCTGCCCGGCACCGTCCCTGGCAGCGCACGCCTAACTCGTCCGGCGGGAAACACGCTGCTCTCCCCCGCCGCGCTTTAGGCCCTTCAGCTCGGCCCGCGCCGCCCCGGCTGTTTCCAGCCGGACAGTAGTGGCGCCGCACCGGCAGGAAGCGCGGCCCGACGCGTTCCCATGGCGACCGCGGCTCCCCCGGCCCGGCCCGGCCCGCCCCGGCCCGGCCCCGCTCCGGCCCCGCCGCCCCTGCGCTCCGGCTGCCGCGGCTCCGGGCGCAGGAGGCTCCGCTGCCCGTCCCCTGCCGCCTCGCTCGCTGCGCGGGAGGAGCTCCACAGCCGCTGTCCCCGCAGGGACCCCGCCTCCCGTGGCGCTGCCATTGCCCGGCCCCGCAGGCGCAGCTCGGGCTGCAGGCCTGGGGAGCGGAGAGGGCCGGTGGTGCCTGTCTGGGTCTCTTTCTTGAGCTTGTGCTGAACGGGAAGGAAGAACGTCCTGGTGCTGAAAGCAAATCAAGCTCTGGAAGAAGGTTTTTAATGATGTAAAGAAGTTTCCTCGTTAGAAACAAACAAACCACAAAATGCCGTACACCCCCACCCTGCCCCGAAAAACACGAAAACAACACAAACAAAAGCCCACCACCACTAAAAAAAAAAACCAAACCAAACCCCCCCAAAAAAACCAACCCAAGCCAAACACCAAAAAAACCAACCCCTAAAATAAACAAACAAATTTTAAAAAGCCAAAAAAAGAAACCATCCCTCCAAAAAACCCACAATAAATCCCCCCAAAACCTTAGGTGGATGCTGTAGACTTTAGCTTTTGGAATCTTAGGCAAAACCAACTAGCAAAATTCCTAAACATTCCTCCAGGCAAACTCAGTTCACACTACACTTTTAAATGTGTAGCACACGTCCTGTGACAATATTTGTGTGTGGTATGTTAGAATTAAAGCACCTTGTCACTTTTGTCACCCTTTAAAGTGTTTCAGCTGGGCTGGTGTGTTTTTTAAAGAGTTTGAAAAACAGTTAAAAGTTCTTTAAAAATATGGTGTTCTGCTGGAGACTGGTCACTACACCTGTGCTTTCACCAAAAATGGTTAATATCCACCTAAAGACTGGATACAATTTCCTTCATTGTTTATCCTATATGCCTATAGGATATGCTTATTGTTTATCCTAAGTGTTGTATATTGAGTTTTTTTTTCCATTTAAAATCTTGATAGGATTGCTACCAGCTCATACAGTATTTGAAACACTGAATTTTTTGAGAGATTGTGAGCAACTGTATATCTCTAATAAGAAAATAAACAAACATAGAGAAATAGAAACAGAAATTTTATACATAAATATATATAATTTTCTATCTAAATTAATAAAATATAATAAAATGTATAAATGTATTATATAAATAGAAAATTATCTGTATGTGTTAAGCAATTATTTCTGGAGTCAGTGGAACAATTTTGGAAGTGAAACACTTTTTCTTTTCTGTGCATGTTCAGCATGCCAAAGTAAAAGAAAACAGGCTATTTAATAGAACACTTTGGTGTTCATGCACCACTGACCTTGTCTGGTGTCCCAGTTTTTGTGTGTTAGTTTCTCTTTCAATCTGCCCAGCTTCAGAAGCCATAATATCTAATCAAAACCTCTTTCAGCATCATCAATAAGCGCTGAATTTTGACTGGGCTTTGACACATTTAAGCATTTGAGCACGTTTAAGTAGTGCAAAGATGAATATTTTGAATGAAATATGAGTTGGGTCAGTCATAGCTAATCATGCCCTGACTGGCTGTGAGGACTTGGTCAGTCTCAAGGCAATCTGATAATCTTTCATCTCTAGAGGTGTAAAAATGAGCTCAGTTCAAGATGTGTTAAATGGGGATGGGTATGTAGGGGAGAGGGAGCAGGGAAAACCAGCTGAACACAAATGCTCTGGCTGGTGAGCCAGCACACAGCTCAGTGCAGCCAGAGCTTTGCTGCTTTTTCCCTCCTGAAGGCAAAAAATAATTAAAAAAGAGTAAGTAAGTACCAGGAGAGTGTGGAAAACTTGCCATGAGAGTCCAGGAGGAGTGGAGACAGAGCAGCAACTCTGGGACTGTTGTCCCAGGATGGAGGCACATCTTGCTTAATTATCTCTAATTATGTGAGCGTGCATAGGTGCTGTGCATTTCACTGGAGCTGGACACTGAATATGGTAAAAAGTTTCTTTCTCTTTCTGAAGATACTTTAGGTGTAAGTTGTTGGTTTCAAACATTTTTGTGAGAATATTTAAGTTTTCAGTAGATGCTTTTCTTGAGATTGTCATATAACATTGGGCTGTGTTGTCAAAGAATTATAGGAGAATTATTTAGAGATTAACTGGAGAGTCCTAGAATGGTTACAGGAGAATTATTTAGGGACTTAACTGGATACTCAGTGTGCTTGTAATACTGCTTTCTCACTACTAGCTACATTTTTTACTTCTGGATGGTATTTTGCTAAGTCTTGGTAAGACTAGTAAAGCTTTTTTTTCTCTTTTGGTTTTTTTTTGTTTATGTTGGTTTTATACTGCTACATAGAGAGTCCTAGAATGGTTATAGGAGAATTATTTAGGGACATAACTGGAGAGTCCTAGAATGGTTACAGGAGCATTATTTAGGGACATAATTGGAGAGTCCTAGAATGGTTATAGGAGAATTGTTTAGAGACTTGACTTAACTGGAGAGTCCTAGAATGGTTATAGGAGAATTATTTAGAGATTTAACTGGATACTGTGTGTACTTCTGGTACTGCAAGAAGAGATGAGTTCAAATGAGGGACCAGCTGAAACATCCAGACTTTGTCATTATTAACTACAATTTTTACTTCTAGATGGTATTTTGCAAAGTCTTGGTAAGACTAGTAAGGCTTTTTTGCTTTTTTTTTTTTTTTTTTTTTTTTTTTTTTTTTTTTGGTTCATATTGCTTGCTACATAAAGGGTCCCAGAATAGTTTGGGGTGGGAAGGACTTTAAAGATCGTCCAGTTCCAACCCCCTGCAATGAGGAGGGAACCTTCCACTATCCCAGGCTGCTCATCCAGCTTGGCCTTGGACAATTCAGGGATCCAGAGGCAGCCACAGCTTCTCCGGGCACCCTGTGCCAGGGCCTGCCCACCCTCCAGGGAACAATTCCTTCCTATTATCTGATCTACACCCCTTTCAGCATCATAAATAAGCACTGAATATTGATTGGGCTTTGATAAATTTAAGAGATTGAGCATGTTTAATTCATGCAAAGATGATTATTTTGTCTTTAATATTTTTTTGCAGTTGTTGTCTTTATCTTTTCAATGCTTTAATGTGACAGTTAATATCAGCAATTAATTAATGCGGCAAATAGTACAAGATTTCATTATGGGGTCTCATTGATACTTCTAATGTGCTTTATTCATCCTGGCTCTTCAGTCAGTACAGTGAGAAGAATTTTTTTCAAGTGTTTTTTTCTGTCAGAGCTGTAGTAGACAGCTGACTCAAAAGGGTGATAAAAGTGAATGTCTGAGTTTTGTCTCTTCAGAACAATTGAGATAAAATAATTTGTTCAATTTTGAGCAATCTTTTTTAATCTCGATATTAAAAATCCTTGGAAGAGATAGGATTATTTAAAAATTATAAATGGATTCTTTTTCCTTTTTTCTTTTTTAAGATAAAGGGGTCAGAGATCTCAATGCTGAGTTCTTTCAGAATTTATTTTAATCGGATCAGATTTATCAACAGTAAAAAGAAAAAGTTTTGTCTCCCAGGAGATGTGCATATGATAGACTAAATGTCATAATGATGTGAACAAATGAGATGTAACATGCACGGAAAATATATGTTTTCCATTAAATTTCCACAGAAATGATTGAAAACGTCTTGGGAATTATTTAAGCAATTTACAATATTGTTCAAAAAGGTACATATGGGCACACTGAGTACAGTCTTTTGTCATTCATTAGCAATGTATTTAATGAGGGTTTTTTTAAGTGATAGATAGTTAAGGTAACAGACAAGTGACAGATTGTTTGTCTTTAACGATTTCCCTATTTCAGGCCCATTACAAAGCAATTAGAAATCTGACAGCATTTTTACTCTGCATTACTGATCATCTAAAGTGATGAGAAATGAGAGGTGATGAATATTAATTGTATATTTTCATATAATTATCATAAATTATTACCTTGTCTAATGTACTGCAGGTGGAGTAAAATCAATGGATGAAAATTCAGTCAAATATGATAATTTGAAAGATTTCATGACTTAGTTTTTGTCTTTAAAGTGCAGTGTCAATCAGTCTAAACCAGGCATGCATTAACTGAGGGAAGTAAAAAGATACTCTTACTTTCCCTTGCTTTACTAGCACTGAGCAGCATGGCTCTTGTGCCCTGTGGCAAATTATTGACCTCTCTTTTTTAGCCTTCCAAATTTATCCTGGGTTGTGGGAGTTGGAAAGAGAGAAATCTTCTCAGACTCAAGAGGGTTTGATTTGCAGCCTTAGAAGAAGCCTAGATGGATGTGAAAGCAAGGTACACAGACACTGAAT